GATGGCTAGTTCCCAGTTGGATAAAGACAATTAGAAGAGTCGCCAACGACTAAAGGAATGTCTTTATAATTACCTAGTAATTTATCAATTTGCCTCAGTAAAGGTAATTTTTGTGATGGAATAATGATCGGAGGAAACCTTGATCATTTTCGAGGATGAGGAACACTCGAATAATAGGGGGCTGTTTTTGAGTTAGCAATGCACTACTGTTTCTAACACACGCACACACGAGTGTTTCTTGAATGATATAAGTAGATGTACATCCTGTCGAAAATTTATGAAATCCCCCTTATGATCAAACTGTAAGTAACCAAACTAGGACTCCACCAAACACATAAAGGGGGCAATAATACACCAGCCACCAGGGAGGGGGTGGAGAGGCCACCACCTGGTAAACACAATAATTTAAGTTCAGAGTTCAGATACAGAAAAATACAGATACCGTAACATCTTCATGAATGAGTGTCAACCAACTTACCCAGCCAAAGGGTACAGAGAGCTGTACAAGAGACTTGACCTTTCAACCAGTTTTCATCTTCATGACTAAAATCACACAATCTTGAATCCCGAAATCTAAAACTCAATCAAGAGGCAGGATCTCAATTCCATGGACAATGAGTCCAGACTTGTGTAAACCTACCTCTGTTCCCATCAGTGTCATTTCTAATACGGCAACATTATCACCTACCCGGTTAAAGTATTTCCCCATGTCTATCTTTATCCATCTATGACCACTATCTCTTCGATGCTCAAAAGCTTCTTCTCCCTCAACATCATCAAACATATCATCACTTTCGGGTGCCTTGAGATAAAAGGTTTTCGAGGTATCATAGCCACTACCTCCAATATATGCACCGTTAGTATCAATCTTTGAAACGAAAACCTTGACAGGACAGACATCAAAACCACGAGACCAAGCCCCAAGCATGAAAGAAAAGTACATGTGGTAAGTAGTGTCTGGAGAGAGTAGTTGTGTGCTAATTCTCGCTGTTATGTAGAGCTCAGCCACTCCCAATAGTTCTGCCACCTCTGGGAACCTATTAGCACATTATAAGTGTGAGAAAAAATTTGTAAGCTGTTCTTTTCATAGAAAGTCATTAAAGCTCTGTTTTGGTTGGGAGGTATAAATTTCATTGAAACATCAACTGAGCACACAATTCCTTTTCTTTTCCATTAATTTTATAATGTCTGCGAAGAGAATATCTTAACGCATTTACAGATTTACTAGTACAGTTTAAGAATATCTCCAACAAAAAATGTCTCACAAAAATCTCTATCATCCTTTCACTAGATTTCTTATTAGGTGTATGGTGTATCTAATGTAATAAAACAAAATACAATAGTTCATCAACAAAATAAGTGGTCCACTTTATGTCCCCTTTAAATTGTTGCCACATTTGGAGTATATGCTCTCAAATGCATCAATTAGTTTGCCTTTTGCAAAACCAATCAATTTGCAGTAAATTGTTACATGACCTAAGATGTGTTATGTGCATGCATAATATCTCAATTGAGAAAAGAGGAGAAACAAAGAAATACCTGGACTCAGGTAAGGGTTTCCACCTCCAGCAACGGGAATTCTCACCCGATGTAATTGCAAGTTCTCTGGCACCAAGCATATAACATTTCTTCCCAGTCCATTTGTCCAATGAAAAGCTCTACAAAAGAAAATTGCATCCAACAATATGTTATACCAAGAAGCAAGTAATTCAGGGTTCACTTACGTATCATGTAAGCAGGAAGAAAGTCTTCATTAAACCATGGCATAATGCAAATATTCCTATCAAAATAACACATAAAACGTGATAGCTACACCCCAGCAAATCACTCAATCTTGCTTAATCGAGTGTAACCAATTAACCTCTGATATGGAGATTTATTGTGAGTATTTGTCTATTAGAATAACAAATAAACCGTTGAGGGATTGAGTTAATCTCGGGGTTTGGCAGAAAATCACAAACTTCATTCCCCATAAGGGCTTAGCATGTTTCATGATTCCTAAGCCTCTACAAATATCACAATTTCATTGATAACAATTCACTAAACTCTGGTAGATATAGACGGTATCTACCAATCTCCGAGATTAACCTATTGATCACCATCTCTCATTTGCCAGCTATCAAAGAGTAATTATATTAACTCTCTAATTTCATCTTACTACAAAAACCAAAAATTGCAATTTCTTCACAGTAAACCATCTCTTACTTACACAAATTGTACACCTAAACCAATTAAAACTCTACTTTTCTGATGATCAAAACCAACATCTTTTGTTCAAAATTTCGAGTTCTGACATTACATCAAAACAATCAAGAAAAATGTCCACTAGAAATTCACAATCCTGAGCAACTTAACTCATGTGTGATTACACATTTACACTTATAAATATCTTATGCAACCTCACTGTCTTGAAATTTTCATCAAAATTAAAAAAAAAATATATATATCCCAAATTTCACAAGAACAAACCCTAATTATCCTAAACCTTCCACATTACAATTAAATGGTATGGCAAAAGGATCAAATCAACAAAAGCCTCAATTATAACCCTTAATTGACATATTATCAAGGAATCAACTACCCCTTTTTCTCCTTATAATCAAATTGAACAAAATTAAGCAATTTAGGAAAAAAAAAAATCATTTTCAAAAAAAACCCAGAAAATAGAAATTGAGAATTAGCTAAAAAAGATTACCTTTTGCTCATCTTCTAAGAGAATGAAAGAACGGCAAAGATGGAGGACGATGAGCTTAGTAGAAAGGGAAGAAGATGACCGTTGGATGAAAGGGTGGTAATCGGACGGCAAGAATTTCTCCCAAACTAAATCGGATTTAGCAATGGAGTTGAAAAATTTGCAGACGAGAGAAGAACGAAGAACATAGAAAGGTGAAGTGAGTGAAAGGATGTGAGAGAGACATCCTTCTGGTAAATCTAACAAATTCATACCTCTCTTATTACTTTCTCTCTCCTCCATTTTAGAGAATTTTTGATCAAGTAGATGTTTTTATTGGTGAAAAAGAAGGTTTTTTTTTTTTATTTTTTTATTTTTATGATGACCAAGAACATTGCTTCATGTTTAATTTGTTTTAGTCAACTTCACGCTTGTTTTTTTAGGGGGTGTTTGGTGCTTTGGTTCACTATAGAAGAATCAACAAACACATATCCCTAATTCCCTTTTGGACTTTCCGTTTCTGCTTTGACTTATTTTTCTTCATAATTTTCATGTCCAAGTGGGCCCATCTCAAAATTCAAAGCAATGATCTCTAATGTAATCGTTGTATCATGCACTACATATACGAAATTTAATATTAGTACCCCGTGTGTTTATATGTGATACAACTAGACTTGACAAATTTGATCCATAATCAATTGCCTTGAGATAGAAAGCCTTTGAGGCATCATATGCACTAATGTGTATCGATCCTCGACACACAAACCAAACATAAATGAATTAAAACCTTTCAGGTAAGCTCCAATACTTCAAGTGTGAAAGAGAAGTAAGAGAAGTACATTCGGTAAGTCGTGTTAGATGTGAGAAAATGTGTGCTTATTACCCTGGTAGTGTGTACGTATTCTCAAGATTTCAAGTTAATATTCTTGATAAACAATCAAAATATACCTCACTAGAATTATCGACTATAGTTATATAATTTTTCAAATTCAATTTATTAAAATTTCGGTAAAATTATACACTTTTGTAAGCCATTGAATCTCTTTGACTCGATCACTTTTGAATTTTATTATAACATTGTCACTTGCTACACATGTTTTTTTTTTTGAGGGAATGCTACACATGTTTATGGAGGAGATAACTTGCAATTTTTCGAAGAAGAGTGGGAGTTGGAAGGGAGGTATTTATGTGATCAACGTTGACATTGTGGTTTTATGATTAATGTCAAGATGTTATTCGCATATTTTACTTTGGGCTTGGGCTTGGGCTTGGACCTGGGCCTGGAATAATTGTGATTTCAATGACCTTATAAGAAGAGTTTAGGTCAGCATCTTGGTCCAGATAATATGATAGTAGTATCATGACTATTATCTCTGTTTATAAAGGTTATTATAGTACTTTGAACGTAACACTTCATAATTTCACCAGTTAACATTAATTGGTAGCAAAATAAAAAATAAAAAAAAATTAAACGGGTAGCAATATATAACACAAGTTACTTTCGCCGGTAATAAATGTCAATTTTTCCTAAAAAGTTTTAACACTTTTATTTCGTATTTCGGCAATACCATACAAGTATGTGTTTTTTACTATGTTAATCCTTTTATACTCTCTCTTAGTTTATCCACTTTTTTTTAATCTATCTATTTAAGTACTCTATCGCTTTTCCTACCTTTTTCTTATACCCACTCGCTATACTAATATTTTCTTTTCAATTATCTTAATTTAAGTGCGACCAATTAATGTTAAAAACTTACAAATTACAGAGGTAATAAACAGTACATACTCCGTAATACCTACAAAGTAATGGTCGGCATGAAGATAGATCACTAAAGATTTCACTAAAAACGTTGTCAACGATTCCAAAATATATATGTCAGCCCTTGTTTTATTTTTGGATATTCAAAACATACAATTATTACTACTCCAGTACGTACTCCTTATTACGTACTTTTTTAAAATGTAAGATAAATAATTAAATATACTAACTAGAGTTGATCATGTACAACATTAATAATATGATCAACAATCTAGAAAAAAAATAATTCATATCGATTCATTATAAAACGTACAAACGCAAACGCCCCCTTATAACACACATACACAAAGTAATTTTTTGTGACGGATTTCATATTTATACCACCTTTGTTCTTTCTACATATAAATAAGAGGAGAAAACACGGCAAAAAATATGTATGTATGAGTATGACTTGAACATTTTGGTAATGATCATATATTCATGATATCAACTCATGTAGTCTGGCACATACTCTTGTAGCCTCCACTCCAATTCTTGAACTTCGAGCCTGTTAATATATATATTTTTCGTAATAATTGTAAGAGAAAATTAAAATTTGTGATAATGTAATTCTAAAAATGGTAGGTTTTCTCATACAAAAAATGTGAGTATTTTGGTAAAACATATCATATAAATGGGTATATTAGCTTGAGACAACATATCCTATGATTCCTATCTATTCTCATTAGTCAAAAGTAGTCACTATTGGTCTATTGCACATTCAAATATGTCCACTACTGGTTACAGAAGATGAAAATGACATGATTTTCATACGATCTCCATCAAGTTAACAATAATCTCTTTTATTTATGACTAGAAATTTAAGAATGGGGCACTGGAGGTTGATTGGTATAGGCCCGACTTTCATGACCCAACTTCACGGTCAACACTATGGACTGTAGGGATTTTTTTTTTTTTTTTAATATTGACTTTAATTTGTATCATTTAAAAAAATGTATGACCCGTAAATACTGAATTAAAAAAATCGTGAGGGTTAAAGTCTAGGCAGGATCTCTTTACTAAATAAATAAATAAATAAATAATTAAAAAAAAAAAAGTCAAAAGAGTTAAAAATTACAAGTACCTTACAATGGAGAGTGTGCAAAGCCATATTCCCAGTATTATTAGAAAAAGTAGCATTGACAACTTCAGCTCCTTCTTCCTCAAGAACCCTAATCACTTCATGTAATTTGATATTATGTTCCAATTCCAACATAAGTTGCACCTCTAAACAACTACCCAAGTCTTCAACTTTGATAATAGGTAATGATAATCCCGAATTCGACATCGTTGCGTCAGAATTATCTGAAGCAGTAGTGTTTGGTTCATTAGATGATGTCCCTTCTTCGTCGTTAACCGTCATTTGTAGTAGTTCCTCCTTTCTCTTTGATAAGTTGTCAACTCTCTCCCTCAACTTCACTATGTAATCTGTTGCTTGTTCAATCTTATTAGCTTGAGATAATATACCCTACGCAACAACAACAAAAAAATAAGTTGAATCAATTGATCTCAATTATTACGCTTCATAATTAAATAGATAAGTTGTATATATATGTACAGTACTACACCCGGCCTCCACCATCAGGTATGCACCTACACGTGCACATACCTTCAAGGGATAGATAATTTGAGGACGGAGGGAATATGAAATATTTATTATACATTTGGCGATATAGGTACCTTGGAGGGACGGATAATATGTTGAGGAGGAATAATGGAAATGAGGTCAGAGCAAAGTCCATTAATGCAATCTCTCTCATTTTTGTGAGCAATATTCTTTTCAAGAAGACTTTCACTGCTCCTTTTCATGACTAAGTGACAAGGTTAGAGTGGTTGCTGCTTGCTGGCTTATATATAATGTGCGTAGAAGCTGGCTTGGCGGGCGGACACGCGGTAGATTAAATACGTGCGTCAAAAAAAAAAAAAAAAAAAAAAAATATATATATATATATATATATATATATATATATATATATATATATGTACGTGCGTGTATGTTTTCAAGTTTATTTGTCATTGCGTACGTTAACACATGAACATATGGGTCAAGTTATAATTTTCCAAATAAAATACACGCTTACTGGCCAACATTTATTTTTACTAGTGCTAAGTAGGAGTATAAAAGTTGTTCTTTGCATGGTAACCAGCTATTGATGATTTTGATGGACAAATTGTCCTATTTGGTAATTGACTGGTTACTGATCGATATAACTTATTGTATAAACTGATTTGACTAACGGATTATATTACTTGGTTTGACAAGATGGTTGTAAATAATTGATTATGTAAAAGTGTTAGCATGTTAGGTAAATAGCTATTAATTGTTAGGTATAGTGTATTTGATAGCCAAAAAGCTAATTTCACAAGGTTTTTATAATGAGCTTTTTTTAAAAAAGTTTTTTGAACCAAAAAGCTCTATTAATAAACTATTTACCAAACACCTAAATTTGCTTTTTAAAATGATCAAACCTCTAATAGGACACAATAAGTTAAAAGTTCTTCAAAAAAAAACTACTCATCAAACAACAAGGCCACAATATTCAAGACATTAGTTCCTAATCAAATTTAGGTCGAATCTGATCAATAATGTACGTATGTTCCTATGTCCCTGGAATATTGCAACATGTGGGGGAAGGGGGACACGAATTACTCGATCACGTGAACAAAGAATTTTAAGTGTATATTGAGCTCTTAAAGTGTGAAATGAGATGTTGGATTTCATTTTAGAAAGATGAATATTTATTAAACTTCCGTAAAATGTAATTATTGTTGGAGTATCTAAAGATTAAAGAAAATATTTTGTAATTTAAATTGATGCATTATAGATTACAAATAACTTGACTTACAAACTAGTTTTTCGTAACTAAGGCTCCGTTCACTTCACCTTATTTTTGCTGAATTAAAATTATTTTTACTGAAATGTAATTATTTTTGCTAAACTTAAATTATTTTACTGAAATGAAATTATTTTTGCTGAATTGAAAATATTTTTACTGAATTTACGTTATATTTCCTCATTGAAGTTACTGATTTTAACTAAACTGAAATTAGTTTTACTGAACTAAACTTATTTTTACTGAACTAAACTTATTTTTGCTGAACTAAACTTATTTTTACTGACCTGAAATTATTTGATTTTTAATAATTTTCTAATTTTCTCCTATAAGTTGTTCTAATTTTCTCCTATATTAATGATACATTATATTAGTATTGTGATAATGTTTCCTTCAAAGTCAATATTTTTTAATTTGTTCTTTACACCTTATCAAAAAAGGAATAATTACGGAGTATAAGTGTATAACTAGTAAGGAGAATTCAGAATTTCAATCATAACTTTTTAACTAAATGTAGTTCACATTAGCTGTAATGGCATAATGCGTTCAAATTATGTCCCATCATAAAGTTATAATAAGTTGAGACAATAGTATGAACTATTTTGGGGAAAAAAATGATACTTTATGCCAAGATCGAATACCTTATTCAGCCCTTTGATAACCTCAAACTAGTAAAAAGTGATTAAGATTGATCAATTTGCACATTCTAGAAATTAATTTATCACTTTTGATAGAGAATACCCATAGAATATTCTCATCCTAGGTTTAGAATATATTTTGTATAAGATTATCTTTGATATCTGTACATATCTTATAGTTACCTAATATGATTAGGTTTCTCATTGTAACCCTATAAATATTGATCAATGGAAATCACTCTAAGCAAGGAGTTTATATTATCTGACATGGTATATTCTCATCCTAGGTTTGAGATATATTTTGTATAAGATTATCTTTGATATCTGTACATATTTTATAGTTACCTAATATGATTAGGTTTCTCATTGTAACCCTATAAATATTGATCAATGGAAATCACTCTAAGCAAGGAGTTTATATTATCTGACATGGTATCAGAGTTTAGGTTAGATCTTGGGATTATATACAAAAATTCTCACCCCGTCGGTGGGTTAGAAAATTATACCCACCGGCGGGATATACAAAGTTTTTTATGCTTCCACAAACACACATATAAATTTTTTTTTTCTTTTCTCAAAGTTTTTTTTTTTTTTAGAATCTTTATGTAACCTTGCGCCTCCCACCAACAGTAGCAATCGCGAAAGCCTCCTCCATCATTGTTGGCAATCGCATACACTACCGCCTCCCACTACTGGCAGTAACCACATCTGCCAACCTACTACATGTGCCGTACTCTATTTCCACCTCCCCATGACCAACAATGATTCTTACATTGCCTCATTGGTTTTTTTTAACACATAATCACATAGATTTTGTTTTGGTGGTGGTATATCACAATAAGGTCAACTTTTGCACATCTCTTTTGCTATCAAGTTAGCTCCTTTTATTGTTGCAGCACTTGGAATCTTTGTGGAGTATTACTTCTTGCTACCTGGTTTCTCTTCTGAGAATTGATTAATTTCAAGCGGTGGGATTTAATCTTTTCTTGCGCAATTTTATTTATTTTTCTTCAACTGTGATTTCACGTAGTAGTGTAGTGTCTTCTTCCCGATGATGGTTTGATCCCTTAGCTTCTTCTTCTCTGGATCAACAACTTAGCCCAAGTCTGTGTGCGGCTCTTCTCCTTCTCCTCCGGCCTAGCAGTGCTTATCTCTACTCTATGTAGGTCGTGACTGTTGCTTCTCTCGTCATCACCGGCACATTTCTACTACTTTCTCTTTTGATCATGGGTTACTATACTATCCTTACCGTTCGATGCCTGATTCAGATCCAGTCTGAGCATCCGATTTTCTCCCGCTCTGACCGCGGGGGTGTGATAGAAAATACTCATAGAATATTCTCATCCTAGGTTTAGGACATATTTTGTATAAGATTATCTTTGATATCTTTACATATCTTATAGTTACCTAATATGATTAGGTTTCTCATTGTCACCCTATAAATATTGATCAATGGAAATCACTCTAAGCAAGGAGTTTATATTATCTGATAACTTTTTCCAAACAAGTCAAAGTTGTACTCTTAGGAGAATTAATTTTAGATTATATGTCAACGTTTACTAGATATATTCCTCGCTCGTAGAGTCTATGTTATAATCAATTGCAACGTTAACATTTTTATCGTATATGCAATGACGACAAAGCTAAGCCAAAATATCTCGTATTAGCAACGTCTAACTCTTAAGATACTATATATGTAGATGAAATTTACTTTTAATTATTATTAAGTAAACCTGGGCACCGTGCCGTGCCGGGCCGTGCCTGGCGGGCCACGGGCTGGTTCGTACCGTGCCGGTCGTGCCGGCGGGCCCAGGATTTCGTGTCGTGCCGTGCCGGCCATTTTCACAGGCCAGCCCACGGCACGGCACGACCCTCGTGCCTGGCGGGCTCGTGCCTGGCGGGCTCGTGCCGTGCCGGCCACGTGCCGGCCTGCGGGCTGTTGCAGTTTTCAAATTTTTTTTATTTTTTTTTTTTTATGACAACATTATAAATTAATAAGTTTATAATGTATATAAGTTATAAAATTATAATTATAAGTTTTATAAGGTTATAACTTATAAGTTTATAACTTATAAGTTATAAGTTATTAAGTTATGAATTTTATAATTATAAGTTGAATATTTATGTTTTATAATTTGTATATTCAATATTTATATTTATATATTTACTTTATACTATTACTTAAAAATTTAATGTTTATGATTTATTAGTAATTGGTATAATTTTTTTTTTTTTTAATATGAATTTACAAATTGTAACAAAACGGGGAAAAAAGGCAAATTGGACTTCGGATGTGAATAATGCGTACTTTATATTATTATTACTTGAGTTGAGAAAATTGTACAATGATAACAATGATAAAAATCATACAATGATGGTAGTAAACAAAAATTGGAAAATGATAAAATTGATATTTTTAAAATCGTACAATATACAATAATTGTCTATTCTTCTTCTCCTTCTTCTTGCTCGTCTTCGTCTTCGTCTTCGTCTTCACCTTCGCCTTCAAGGTCATCGGCTAGTTGCATAGATTGGGAACTAGCCGAACCCGAACCGGAAGCGGAGGTTCCTTCTTCGTTGTCGTTGTGGTCGTAAGAACGGTCTTGTGAGCGATTTTCCGCATCCAACCAATCTTTGAAACACACGCACATTTCTAGTGTTTCGGGTTTTAGACTTGTTCTTCTATCGTCTAAAACCCTTCCGGATGCGCTGAAAGCTCGTTCGGAGGCGACGGAGGAAACTTGGATAGCAAGAATGTCTCGTGCCATTGCCGCCAAAGTTGGATGCTTCGAGCTTTGTTGTTTCCACCATGCAAGGAGGTCGAGGCTGTTTATCTCATCGTCGTCCATGCCTTTGGTGAAGTCGTAACTCAGGTACATCTGTAACTCCGAGACGTCGCTTTGCGTTCTCCTGATTGATGAATCAGCTGAAAACCTTGAAATCAAGTTAGTAGCTTGTGAAAATAAATGTTTGGCCTTCTTACTTACGTTTTTGGATGGTTGGGAAGGCCTTGAGCGAGGAACGGTGCCATATTTGGCTTCATAGACTCTATATAAAGCAAAAAACTGATCCTTCACATTAGTCTTATAGTTTTCTACATCATCGTCAAGAAACATGCATTGAAAGTAAATGTCAACTAACATAAATGTGTTTTCATACTTTTGCCTAGGATCTAATATGGAAGCAAAAATATAAATCAAAGGAATCTCACTATAATATTTACGCCACTTTTTTTCCATTGCTGGAAGATACTGATCATAATCACTTTGATGGCGATGATCAGCGAAAAGTTGGGCGAGTAAGCATGCATTAGAAAGAAAGTTTTGAGCACAAGGATTGTAAACAGTAGAAAAACAATACGTGATGTTATATAATAACTGTAAAAACTGCATATATCTTTCACAGTTATTCCAATCATCATCATACAAAGCAT